CATGGTTTCTTTTGAGAAATCGGCACTTAATCTTATCTGCTCTCCCTTATAGGTTACTCTTTGTTTCTCCTTTGCTGCTTTCAGGATTCTCTCCTTAACTTTGGTTCTGGCAAATTTAACTATGATATACCTTGATGTTTTTCTTTGGATGTCTAGTCTATACGGTGTTCGCTGAGCTTCTTGTATATATATTCTCTAATTTTCATTATACCTGGGAAGTTTTCCTCTAGTAATTCTCACACAATATTTTCAGTGTTTTTACTTGCTTCTTCCTTTTTCTTTACTTGCTTCTTTCTTTTCTGGGATTCCAATGATGCTCATGTTATTTCTCTTGATGGTGTCCAACATTATTCTTAGGATTTCTTCTTTTTCCTTCCTTTTTGAGTCTGCTTTTTGCTCTAGTAGATCAGTGGTGACAATTTTGTCTTCTATTTCACTGGTTCTTTGTTCTATCCCTTCAACTCTGCTCATGTGTCCCTCCGTCATGTTAATAGCATCTGAAACATTGGACTTCATATTTTGGATAGTGGTTTCTTGTTTTTTCAGTGCCACTAATGCCTCATTTGTTTTCTCTACATTGTTCCAGACTGTCTTTTTTAGTTCCTCCTGGTTTTTACTTGTAATGTCCTGTATTTCTTCAAGTTTGTCTTTCACCCATTGGAAATATTCAATCATTGTTCTTTTAAATTCTGTGTTGGAAAGTTCCATCAGACTTTCTGGCTTCAGGAAATCCATTGATACTGTGTCAAACTTTGGGGGTGACATCTTGCTTTGTGCTTGTGTATTTTGTGGAATAGCTTGCTTTCTTCGAGACATTGATATGTTCTTGATCTGAAGACAATGTTTTAGAGGGCAGTTGGGTAGCTATCCCACTTGTGTTTTTCTCTGAATGTCTGACTCCAGGGAAATGTCAGTTCAGCACCTGCGAGAGCAGGCTCTTGTAGGTAAGACAGGTCAAGGTGCTCCAGATTAAAGGCAGGTTGATTGACCAGACATGTAGACACAGGTGTGGAACTAATGTGGTGGGGCATGCACGTGGGTGGGGCAATCACAAGGGCAGGTCTACCACTTGGGGGACCTCACTCCAACCTCAGTTGTCTGGGTGTGCTCACAATTGGGGTCCCTATTCAAATTCCAGCTGTCCATCTCCCACTCAGTGGTTTTCATTCTGTGGTCCCTGCCCAGTGGCTCTCACCTAGGTGCTCTTGCACAGTGGCCCTGCCCAGGCAGGGTCCTGGGTCCAAGGGACCCAACAAGACAAAGTCAAATTCCCACCAACCCACTCACCTCTGGCTGGTCTGCAGTGTCCACAAAAGTTCAGCCAAATTATCACTGGCCCACTGGTTCCTGGGCAGTTTGTGTGGCCCGAGAGAGCTCAGCCAAATTCCCACCAGTGGGCTGACCCTTGGGTACTCTCTAGACAATTGGCGGTGCCCAAGAAATCCCAATAGGATCCTACCAGCCTTTCTTGTGGCAGATCAGTCCCATAGCAGCTCAATTGGTGGCTTCAGATGATGGCTTGATCCACGGTGTGCCTTTGTGTGTTGACTCAGAATTGTACTGTCCACAGCTGTTGGTAGGTCTCTGTGCTGCGTGAAGGAGTCTCTAGTGGCCCTGGTGCATCGCCAGGGGTGCAGGGTTGTGACGAGGTCACCAGGGTGTGCTAGAAGTTTGGCGGCATGGGATGGTGGTGGGGTGCTTTCCCTGGGCAGGATGCTGTAGTGAGGGTCGGGGTGCAGGGCTTGGACCCCTCTGGGAGTTAGGGGTTGCAGTCTGTTCCCAGATATTAAGCTTCCAAGTCACCAGTTCTCAGCAAATAAGACTTCCTGTGCCATCTTCCGAGTGCCGAGTTCCTTGTTTTTCAATGCAGTATATTATTCCATTATGTGAATATACCACAGCTTCTCTATCCATTCCTTTGTTGATGGGCACTTAGGTTGTTTCTAACTCCTTGCAATTGTGAACAAAGCTGCAATAAACATGAATGTGCATAGGCTCAATATTAAGAAGACAAAGATTCTCACCACTGAGCCAATTGGCAGAAACAGGATGAATGGTGAAGAGATTGCTATTGTTCACAGCTTTACTTTGCTCGGCTCCAGAGTCAACACTCTTGGCACCAGCAGCCAGGAAATTAAAAGATGTATTGCGATGAGAAAGTCTGTTGTTAGGGACCTCTCCAAAGTACTGAAGAACAATTTTGTCGCTCTGGAGACCAAGGTGCACATGATACAGGCCATGGTCTTTGCAATCACTTGCTATGTATCAGAGAGCTGGACAATGACTATGGATGATAGAATTGTTGCCTTTGAGCTGTGGTGTTGGAGAAGAGTGTTGAATATATCATGGAATGCTAAGAAAACAATCAGGTTTGTCCTGGAGAGAGTGAAGCCAGCCTGCTCCTTGGAGGCAAGGATTCTGAAGCTTTGTTTGACATACTTTGGAGACCTGCCATGGAAGTTCTACTTCAAACTATACTGTTTCTTGGACACAGACAATGTGCCAAAAGACAGCGTGGATTTCGCGTTTATGTTTGAGCAGGTCCACGAGGCGGTGATCCACGACCACTACCTGGCCCCGGAGGAGAACCTGCAGGTGCTGGCCGCCCTGCGGCTCCAGTTGGGCGATCACATGCCGCACACAGCCCTGCCGGCCCTGGAGGAGGTGTACTGCCTGCAGAGGCTCCGAGCCCGCATCAGCCAGTCCACCAAGACCTTCAGCCCCGGCGAGCGTCTGGACAGGCGGCAGACCAGCTTCCTGGACGGCACGCTGCGCCGCAGCTTCCGCACGGGCTCCGCCCTGTGGCAGAAGGCCGAGGAGGAGCAGATGGTGGACATGCGGGTCAAGGAGGAGGTGTGCTCTGCGCGGGCCAGCATCGTCGACAAGTGGAAGAAGCTCCAGGGCCTGAGCCAGGAGCAGGCCATGGTCAAGTACATGGCCCTGATGAAGGAGTGGCCTGGGTATGGGTCCACGCTCTTCGACGTGGAGTGCAAGGACGGCGGCTTCCCGCAGGAGCTCTGGCTGGGCGTCAGCGCCGTCGCCGTGTCCGTGTACAAGCGCGGCGAGGGGTGGCCGCTGGAAGTCTTCCAGTACGAGCACATGCTGTCCTTCGGGCCCCCCCTGGCAAACACCTACAAGATCGTGGTGGATGAAAGGGAGTTGCTCTTCGAGACCAGCGAGGTGGTGGACGTGGCCAAGCTCATGAAGGCTTACATCAGCATGATCGTCAAGAAGCGTTACAGCTCCACACGCTCCATCAGCAGCCACGGCAGCTCCAGGTGAAGCTGGGGCCCCCATCTCAGTGTCTGAGCGCACCTCTACACCGCCCGCCGCAGGCTCCCAGTGTCCAGTGAGGCCGAGCGTGGAGCCAGCGGGCTTCGGGGAGGCCCTGGCAGAGGGAGGTGTCTGTGCGGGGCCGCTCGCCCTGCCGGCTGCAGTGACCATGTACTCAGCTGTCCACCGTAAACAGTCTGCACAGTTTCCAAAGCTTCAGTACTCCTCTGTGACACATGCCTTAAAGAGAAAGGGGCCAGGAGACCCTCGCTGCCACCAAAGCAGCCAGAAGTGCCTTACCCAGTGACCCCACACTAACCGGCCTTAAGTGTGCCCTGAGGGGCACTGCTCAGCAGGACATTGCACCAACCACCCCCCAGCCTGATGATGCCTCAGATCATGACAGGTGAGGGAGTGGGGGGTGAAGGGAGCCTGGGGGACAGGAGTCAGGGTCGAATGCTGCTGGCAGCCGTCCGGGACATATGGTGACTGGGCCTCTGGCTTCCTCTAAGTCTGCGCACCTGCCCGGGCCTGCGTGGACGCCGTCCACCTGCCACTCGCAGCCCCGGTTTCCTGAGGATTAAAGGCCCAGGACAGAGGTGCCAGCTGGCAGCCAGCTTCTCAGCTCAGCCTCTGTCGTCTGTGGCTGCCTCGTGGGGCAGTTTCATGCACAGCCCGCATGCCTTTGGTCTCTTCGGTCCTTTGTACCTCCCGCAGCGCGTTGGGACTCGCCCTTGTCCGACATGGAGTGATCCTGTGTCCCAGGTCTGCTGTGTCAGGCACAGAGGTGCGTCCTGCCGGCGGTTGTATTTATAAGGCACTCTTAGCCCACCTCAGCGCCAGCGCCGTGCGGGACAGTATGAATTCTGCAGTCTTTAAGTTACTAAAGTATTTAAGTTTAAAGATCAGCTTAGAGGGGAGGCCAGACTCCGTCCCATCAATCTGGATCCATCCAGATCTTCCACGTAGCTAGAGAAGGAAGGTGCTGTATTCTTGGGAAAGCAGCACACGAGTGGTCAGATATCCCAAGGAGCCCGGCATTAAATGGTGAGGCTTGAACGCAATGCAGTGTACACATATTTTGCCCAAATTCCTAAGGGGGGTCTGAACAGAGCACCTAGAAATAAAGAGCATTATCTGGTCTGGAACTTTTTATTTTTATATGGAGAACCTGGAATGACTCGAGTCAGCCGAGTCTTACCCACAAGGAATTTGCCTTACCCCTTTGGAAAACCATGCGGAATCATGCTTGTTGGCTCAAAGAAAGTCTGACAATAAAAGATATTAGCTAAAAAAAAAAAAAAAAAAGAACAAGGAAAAAAAAGAGAGTGAAGCCAGCCTGCTCCTTGGAGGCAAGGATTCTGAAGCTTTGTTTGACATGACATACTTTGGACATGTTGCAAGGAGGGACCAGTCCTTGGAGAAGGACGTCATGCTTGGGAAGGTGGCGGGACAGTGCAGGATAGGAAGACTCTCTATAAGATGGATTGATTCAGTTACTGGGGTAATGGATGTAGGTGTGTCGGAGATAGCGAGATTGACACAGGACAGAGTAGGGTTTAGGGCTGGTGTACATAGGGTTGCTATGAGTCACAGGTGACTTTATGGCACATAACAACAACAACAACAATAATAGCGTAATATCTATAAGCATTCAGTGGAGATCTGATACTGCAAACATACGTATCAGCCATTAATTATCTAAAATTGCACCACTTTTATTGGTCCCTTGTACATCCACTAGAAAATAAATCAACTTTCAATACACATACACATATTTTCTTTTCTTTTTCTCCATGCACTTTCTCCAGATTCTCCAGATCAATAAGTTCATTCTCCCCTGGTAAGGACATATTTATGGTTACATAGAAGGAATGCTTCTTACCTGCACACTCAGAGAGGCCAAGTTCTCATCACCATGATCCGGCTGGAAAAGTCAGTTTTTTAGGAACAGTCCTCCTTGGTTCCCATATTCACTACTAGCTCTAAGTGTAAGCTGAATTATGATAACCATGATATTCAATGTCAAGCAGTTTTGGGGTATTAAATAACAATTAATAAGCAGAATGCTATGGAAAATCCAATATTATAAGGTAACAATTTAGAAACTATTATCAACTCAAGATTGAAACCAGGACAAGGGCTATATGTAAAATGTAAAGATGATTTTTTTCTGTGGTTTATTACATTTTCAAAGTAGCACACAATTCTATTATAAAGATGAGCTATCTATAATTTATCATTTATTAGTTTATCATGTCAAAGAAGAAGGCTGTTTGTATATGATGTTCACTTTTGAGTAGAAAAGCCACACATGGGGTTTATAGCCTTGGATCTATATGTAGAATAGATCATTTGGGAGTCTGAGCTTTATGAAAAGGAATGTGGCATCAGCATTGGAAGAACTAGACTCATCAACAACCTGCATTATGCAGATGAGACAACCTTGCTTGTTGAAATGGAGGACCCTCACTCAGCATAATGTCCTCCATGGTCACCCATTTTTAATAATATTGCATGAGTTCCTTGTTTTTCAATGCGACATAGTATTCCATTGTGTGAGTATACATACCACAGCTTCTCTATCCATTTGTTTGTTGATGGGCACTTGGGCTGTTTCCAACTCTTTGCTATTGTGAAGAAAGCAGCAATAAACATGGGTGTGCATATATCTGCTTGAGTGGCAGTTATGGTTTCTTTAGGGTATATTCCCAGTAGTGGAATTGCTGGGTCAAGTGGTATTTCTATTTCCAACTTTTTGAGAAAGCGCCATAGAGCCTTCCATAGTGGTTGCACCATTTTACACTCCCACCAACAGTGAATATGGGTTCCAGTCTCTCCACAGCTTCGCCAGCATTTGTTGTTTGCTGTTCCATTAAATTTTGCTATTCTTACTGGGATGAGATGATATCTCATAGTTGTTTTGATTTGCATATCTCTTAGAGATAGGGATTGTGAACATTTCTTTATGTGTTTGTGTGTCATCTGAATGTCTCCTCTGGTGACATGTCTGTTCATATCCTGTGCCCATTTTGCAATTGGGTTATTTACCTTTATTTTGTTGTGGTATTCGAGTACTCTATAAATTTTAGATGTAAGTCCCTTATCAGACATGTCATTACCAAATATTTTTTCTCAGGCTGTGGCTAAATAGACAAATATTGTATAATGCCACTGTTATAGAACAGGACTGATATGGGTGTTGGGGGGAAATTAAGAAAAGAGGGGATAAATAATGTACACAGCTTTGAAACAGATGAGGAAGAGAACTGTATAGTTGGAACATATGATTAGGTATTATTGGCATGACAAAATTCCAGAATAAAGGTTGCATAGTAAAGTTGGCTTGGGGTGGGGGGTGGGGGACGACTATATAACAATGATAGAACTTTTTTCCAAAGAAAAAAGCAAACTGAGGATGGGGGGACAGGGAGGAAAATGTGCAACAATGAATGAATGGAAATACAATAGCAAAAAGAAAACTACGTACATTCCATGTTCCAATTCTTAAATTATGTTTATCATGAAAAAAAAAAGTTTAAAAACCCCACCAACATGAGGACCTGAAGTGCTTGCCGCAGAAAGTCATGGACTGTAGTCTTCAATATGGATTGAAGGTCAACATCAAGAATACAAAAGTACTCACCACTGGGCCAATTGGAAGCACAATGAGAAATAGAGAAGTGATTAAGGATGTTAATAATTACAACTTGTTTGTCTCCACACTCAACTCTCTTGGCACCAGAAGTCGGGAAATCAGAAGAGGAATTAATTGCACTGGGAAAATCTATGGTTAGGATTCTCTGCAGAGTACTGAGAAGTGATGATGTCAGGCTAGAGACTAAGGTGTGCCTGATCCAGGTATTGATCTTCACAATCACTTGCTATGCATCAGACAAGTGGACAGTGATGAAGGCTGACAAAAGAAGAACTGATGCCTTTGAGATGTGGTGCCAGAGAAGAGTATTGAACATACCATGGACTGCCAAGAGAACAAACAGACCTGTCTTGAGGAGGGTGAAACCTAGTTTCTCTTTGGAGAATAGGATTTTGAAGCTCTGTTTCACATATTTCGGACTGTGGTCAGGAGGAACCAGTCCTTGGAGAAGGCCATCATGCTTGGAAGGGTAGAGTGATAGTACAGGAGAGGGAGACCCTGGATGAGATGGATTGATACAGTAACTGGGGGTAATAGGAGTAGGTGGTTGAAGTGAGACTGCCTTAAGATAGGGCAGGCTTCAGAGCTGTTTGTACATAGGGTCACTATGAGTGGGGACTCAACAGCACTTAACATTATTAAGGTCTGAATTTTAGCTTGTCTGACTTTAGGTATTAAGATGCAATTAAAGAGATGTATGCAGTAGGAATAGAAATTGTCACTGTTTAATAATTTAGCCAAGGGAAAGGAAGTGTAGTTAGTCACCTTTTACTAGTGGTAAAAGAACAAGATTTCCAAGCTAGAATATCTATTGAAGTAAACGGGATGCTCGTTATATTTACAGTTATTTAATACTGCATTTCTTTTACAATAATTAGTACAAGACTGTATCTAGAAGGCAGAGGTAAACAGTGTTCAAAATGTCCAAACTGTTGTAACCACTCCTTCATCTCGGAAATTAATTATTCTTTCTTTTTTCAGTGCTCCCACTCCAGTCTGTCTTTAGCCTCTGAAATTCATTGATGTTCTCACAGAAACTCAAGACAACTCTTATGTAAATTCCTCCCACAATTGTTAATTATGTAGACCAAGGTACATGGATTGTTGCAGAGACAGGTGAATAGTGGGCCAGGAACCTGCAGGCTGAGGTTGTCAGTCATTGCTTGTCAGCTATTTGTTGTCAAAACAGCTGACCTAGGTTAGATGCAGTGCCGCTAGTGAGTTTCACGAAAGCCTTATTTTGTATAGACTTCTAGAGCTATTAACTATGTTGTTGTGGCGTTGGGGTTAGAGTTAAGCTACAGAAAAATGAATACAGGTGGGACTTGTATCCTATCCTAATCTAACTTCC